CCCCCAAACTCACCAGTTGGAGGATTCTGAGCCTCCCTCCTCCCCAGGGGGAAGCAGGGTAGATAAGGTTGGGCTTCCTGTGACAGCAGGAATAAGCATTGCTTGAAGACAGGGCAGGCTGCAGTGAGGACAGAGCACAGGGCCCAGCCGAGGAAGGCTTCTGCTGGTCAGGGGACACCAGGGCCAGGATCAGCAAGGGAGGAGCTGGCCTGGCCATCGCCCTGCACAGAGCTTTCAGCGTTCAGAGCTGGGCGTGGCAGCCTTCCACCTCAGCACTCTGGAGGCAGAGGCAGGGGATCTGTGAGTTCCAGTCCAATCATACATAGTGAGAACCTCTCAAAAATAACAATTAAAAATAAATAAAAAATAAGGCAGACTCAGGTGTGAGTTATGGTGTTTCTCACCCTGTGAAGCAAGGGGACATCAGCGGTGGGTGTGGGGAAAGCTGTTTGTGAAGGGGGTGTAGTTCCAGACAGAAGTAGTTGCCCAGATGGAGTGCGTGTGTGAGCCTGCTTCCTTGATGCTCAAATAACAGATGTGTCTGCATAGCTCTTCTACATTTTTTGGTTTATTTAACTTTTTATTTTATGTGCATTGGTGTGAAGGGTCAGATCCCCTGCAACTGGGTCTTTAGACAGTTGTGAGCTGCCATGTGGGTGCTGGGAATTTAACCGGGGTCCTCTGGAAGAGCAGTCAGTGCTCTTAACCACTGAGCCATCTCTCTACCCCGTTCTACATTTTTTTAATTTATTTATTATGTATACAATATTCTGTCTGTGTGTATGTCTGCAGGCCAGAACAGGGCACCAGATCTCATTACAGATGGTGGTGAGCCACCATGTGGTTGCCGGGAATTGAACTCAGGACCTTTGGAAGAGCAGGCAATGCTCTTAACCACTGAGCCATCTCTCCAGCCCCCCCCTTCTACATTTTTAATTTTCATTTTTGTTAGTGGGAATGGAACCCAGTACTTTGCTGAGACTAGTCAGGCTTTCTACCCTTATGCCACGCCCCTAGACCCTCACTGGGAATTCTAGGGGATTTTCTTTGACCCCTGAGCCATGCCCCTGACAACTTTGGTTGTTGTTGCTTTTAACCCTGTTTTAGACAGTGCCTCACTGTGCAGCCCTTGCTCTCCTGGATCTCATCCAGACCCACCTGCCTCTGTGGTGTACCCCACTAGACCCTGCCCCAGGTCTTCTTTTACCGTCTTGATTAAGGGTTTCACTAAATGGCTCAGTGTAGTGGGAATCTAGAAGAGTCATTGTATCTTTGGTAAACATAAAATGTTACAATTGTGGGGCTGGAGAGATGGCTCAGTGGTTAAGAGCATTGCCTGCTCTTCCAAAGGTCCTGAGTTCAATTCCCGGCAACCACATGGTGGCTCACAACCATCTGTAATGAGGTCTGCTGCCCTCTTCTGGTCTGCAGACATACAGACAGAATATTGTATACTGTATACATAATAAATATGTTAAAAAAAATGTTACAATTGTTTCTCACTGTCTGAGGTAACAGTTGAATGAATTACTGTTCCTTGAAGACTCCTAGACTTTGAAGAAACCATTGTAGAGAACTATGGCTGTTTCCTATGAGTTGTTTTTGCTGACGTTTTCCATCTGTCTCTGGACACAAGCCTATCCAGGCACAAGGTTGTGGAGTGGTTGTGATGATTTCCTTCAGGGAAACATATAGAATAGATTGGAGGGGCTTGAGTGTGAGGAAATTGTACCCCAAACACTACCTTTGTGTACAAAAACTTCCGTTCCTCCCGGCTGCCAGGGAACCTAAAATCACATTCTGGAGCAAGCCTTTTTCTTGGACCACCTATGTGACACAGTACACCTATCAGCCCCGTCTGCCATTGAACTCGCAATCCCCCTGCCTCATCCTTCTGGGGACAAAGCTCAGTGGTAGAGCATTAGCCCATTAGCCTTGCGGGGCCCGGGTCCCATCCCTGCCAGGTTATCAAACCAAGCAAAACAATGGCTTCTTAGAACTTGGAACAGTGTCACCAATCCCAGCCCTCAGGAGACAGGGGTAGGCAGATCTCTGAGTTCGTCTCTTCCTTATTGAACAGTGAGGGAAACTGAGGCCTCCTGGCTTGCCCTGACACCTGACCTTCCCCTTCACCCTCAGATCTCAGAACATTATGGAGATTTGGAAATCCCCCCCCCCCCAGCAGGTCTGGCCCCTGCTGCATCAAAGCTGTCCCCGCACCCCGAGGCTGGATTCTGGCCACCAGGATATCCGATGCCCAGAGGATGGACGGATGGGAGCGTGGGCTTGGCGTCCAGGGCTGCCAGACGCTCAAGGGACATCAAAGGCTGTCAGGACCTATTTGGACTCCTAGCCGGCGTGTCCTACCCTGAGGGTCCCGATGACGATTCCTTCCTCTTAACTGGTCTTTTTGACCTTTGCCCAATTCCAAAGCCTCTCCTGGGGCACAAATGCCTTCCCTTCCAGAAGGATCACCGTGCTCTGTTGGGTTCTTTATCTGCCATTGTCTCTCCTGGCCAGAGATCCCACATCCTAAGATCCCACATCCTAGGGGGTTCAGCTTTCATCCTGTCTGACCCAGAAGGCATTGCTCTCAAACCTGTCACGGCTCCCCAGTGCCATCACTGACACTCAGTCTTCACCCTGCCCCTGGACTACTTTCCTGGTGACTTCTCCAACCAGGGAGGAAAATCTGAGCTGAATTCAAAAGGGTAAGAAGCCCAGGTCCACCATGTTGCTGCAGAGTCAGCCAGCAGCCTCTGGGAGCTAAGCTAAGCACGTTGATTCAGCCCTTTCACACCAATGGTGGATGGAAGGTCAAGCGGGGCAGGAGTTTAAGGTTGGCTATGGAGGGAATTACAGGCCAGCCTGAGCTACATGAGACCCTGTCCGTAAAATAAAATAACCCAAGACTGGGGTCGGAGCTCAGTGGGTAGCGTTGTCCCAGCTTGCAGGAAAGCCTTGCGTTCTGTCTCCAGCAACTGGATAAATGAGCTGTGGTGGCTATGAGATGCAGTGGCTAAGGCCCTCGTCACCTTTATCCCAGCACTCGGAGGGGTCGAGGCAGGAGGACCAGCAGTTCCTGGGCTACGGGGTGTGGGGGGCAGTTTAAGGCCAGCCTGGGTCACAGGAGACCCAGTCAGCAGCTAGAGGCCTCTGGGGTGGTTGTTGAGAAGGACAGGAACAGAAATAAACCCTAGGCGTGATTAGCCAGCTTTAAAACAGCCACTTGGTATGGTCAATCCCAGGTGTCTCTGCCCAGGTTTGGGAGCCACAGCTGACACACCAGTGTGCTGAGAATTACCAGTCAGCCCCAGGCTGACGTTCTCTGGGAGAGACCGGCCTGAGCCACCCCTCTGGCTCCTATCTCTCCTATCTTTTAGTCCCCTCCGGCCAAGAGCTTGGAGCTGCCCGTTATCTGCTGCCCAACCCAGGCCAGGTCACCTCCCCAGAGGAGCCTGGGACGTCCCCTGGGTGTCGTGTGGCCCGGTACCAGATCCTCCGCCTTCTGGAATGAAGTCTTTGTATATTTATTTATTTGAGACAGGATTTCTCTGTACCTCACTCCTAGGCCAGACTGGCATCAACTCAAGAGATTCTCCTGCCTCTCCCTCCCAAGTGCTGGGATTAAAGATGTGGCCACGACACCTTGATCACTTTAACATCTATTGTTGGGAGCATAGGGGCTCACGGGAGACAGTTCAATTTGGGACTTAGGGATTCACAACCAGGCTGTATGTCTCTGAGTGCCCCAGGAGGAAGGCTCTGTGTGGTAACTGAGACATGGTCACGGTAGCGGGGCTGTGGTTCCAGCCAGCCCGAGCTATGGCGAAGCCCAGGTTCCAGCCTCTGAGCAGCACGAAGCTTGCTGGTCAGGCAGCACTCAGAGGTCAAGGTCAGCCTCAGTACCAAAGTGGGGGCGGGAGGAGGGGGGGATAAAAAAAGGGGATGAAATGTCGTGTGGAGGAGGTGCAAGAATGCTCGTCCCACTACATCCCATGGTCTGGGCCTGGAAGCGTGTGTGCCTCTGACTCACCACAGAGGCCTGGCTTCCCCTTTCTTTGAGAGTGCTTCTCAGAACCACCCAGTAAGTAGGAGTGAAAGCTGGGCATCTGCCACGTGGGGCGCCTGGCACCTGCAGCCTCATTAAAGGCTAGTCAGTGTTATGCTGTTCTACCCAACTATTCTCTGTAATTAATAATTAATTAGCACTAATATGTCTCCCAAGGGCCTCATTGTGTATCTCTGGAAGTTTATGAGATCACCCAGATGTGGTCTCATTCTAGCCTTTTGCAGGGAGCCCCAACCTCCAGCAGCAAGCTGGCTGGGGTCCAAGGCGTGATTGGGTGGCAGGCAACAGGGCTCATGATTCTACTCCCCGAGCCAGACCTGAAATCCCAGCAGCTCCTGAGGCTGAGGTTGGAGGACTGAGAGTGCGAGGCCAGCCTAGGTTGTTGAGGGACTCCAGGCTAGCTGCCTGGGCGACGAGTGTGGCCCCGTCTCAAAGCAGAAACAATAAAAAGGCCCACTTGTGGGTGCAACCCCCATGACCAAGACGGGAGGCCGGAGGACCAGGAGTTCAGGGCCATCCTCAGCTGCACACTGAGTTTGAGGCTAAACTGGGCTATATGAGACCCTCTCAAAACAGAGTTTTCAGTTTGAAAGGATAAATTTGGTGACTCTGGAGAATGTTCAAAGATGTCTTCTGCTACACAGGGATATCAAGGCCAGGCTGGGCTACAGGAGACCCTGCGTTTAAAAAAAAAGAAACAAACAAAAAAGAATTCCTTTAGTCAAATAAATGAAAACACGAAGAAAATAAAAAGGAAACAAACCGCGATGATGAAAGCCTGACGCGTAGCGGGTGGCGTTAAGGACCGCGGGAGTGCACCGCCCCGAGGCCACGCTCCTGCCTGCTGATTGGTCGCCCGGCCGAGGCGCGCGGCTCTGATTGGAGATTGCGGCCGTCGCTCCGAGGCTCCGCCCCGTCGAGGCGGCTCCCGGGAGCGGCCGCAGAGGCGCGCGGCGCGGCAGCCGGGGCCGCTGTGCGGTGGGGCCTGCGACCGCGATGTCGCCTCCGCCGGGCGACGCGGGCCCCGGGCCGCCGCGGACGCTGTCCCCCGCCGCGCGGCTGAGCTTCGCGGTCGGCCACTTCCTCAACGACCTGTGCGCGGGCATGTGGTTCACCTACCTGCTGCTGTTCCTGCACTCCGTGCGCGGCTACAGCTCGCGGGGCGCCGGGCTGCTGCTGCTGCTCGGACAGGCGGCCGACGGGCTCTGCACGCCGCTCGTGGGCTACGAGGCTGACCGCGCCGCCTGCGCGCGCTGCGGACCCCGCAAGGCCTGGCACCTGGCAGGTGAGCCGTCCTCCAACTCCCGGCCTAGACTCCCGCCCAGGTACCGTCCTCCACCTTCTGACTGTCTCCCCGGGCTGTCCCCCACGTCTGACTGCTGTCTCCCCGGGACTGTCTTCCACCCTCTGACTGTCTTCCCGGGCTGTCTCCCCCTCACTGTCTCCATGGGCTGTCCCCCACATCTGCCACCCCGAGCTGTCCCCCACATCTGTCACCCCGAGCCGTCCCCCACGTCTGACTGCTGTCAACCCGGGCTGTCCCCCATGTCTGACTGTCTCCCCGGGCCGTCCTCCACCCTCTGACTGTCTCCCCAGGCTGTCCTCCACCCTCTGACTGTCTCCCCAGGCTGTCCTCCACCCTCTGACTGTCACCCTGGTCGTCCTCCACCCTCTGACTGTCACCCCGGGCCGTCCTCCACCCTCTGTCACGGGACTGTCCCCCAACTCTGTCACTTTGTGTCCATCCTCCCCACTGACTACCATCCTGTGGCATGGCCCTTCCCCCTCTGACAGTCACCCTGGGACCATCGCCCCCTACCCAACTGTCATCCTCAGTCTGCCCTCCCCCCACACCCTGCCACCCCGTGTCTCGCTTCTCACTTTCCCCCAGTCTGTCATCTTGGGACACGTCCTTCCCTTCCCTGACATCCAGTGGTCTAGCCTCCTCCTCATGTCCCCACCCTACAACTGCCTGCCTCTCATCCCTCACATCCTGTCTGGGGTGGCCCAGCTTGGGGTCCCCCTCTGGTTGTTGTTTGGTGTGGACATTGGGGAGTATGGCCCTGGGATTGTAGCTGCTCCTTTTGGAATTCCAGGCAGCTGTTCTGGAAGGGCCTGGCCCTGCCCCTGGGGTGGTAGTTGTGGAACCCAGCCCTGCCCCTTGGTGACATTTTTTGCAAGACAGAGCAGTGGCCCCAAACTGGATTCTGAGCCTGAGGGCTGGAATTTCTAGTTTCTCGGGATTGTTCTAGGCTTTGGACCTCAGAAGATTCCAGGATAAGCAGAGGAGGGTGGTAGTAGCCGGTGTAGGCCTCTGAAGCAGGGGTGTAGCTACTTAGTGAGACCCGGTTTCCAACAAAGAGAAGAAACACACAGAAGGGCTCATATTTGCCTGGAGACACCAGGCCAGCCCAGCCGTGCCAAGGTCCTGAGCCTGTGACTGAGCATGGGCTGGTGGCTTGGATTTGGGGAGGGCAGACTGGGAAGCACCCGAGCAGGTGAGGCGGGTGGGCACCCGAGCAAACTGACAACTTCTCTGTGCCGCCTGGGCCAGGATAGCTGAGGCAGCTCTGACCGGCCTGAAACTCTGTAAGCCAGGATAGTGGAGGCAGCTCTGAACAGCCTGGAACTCTGTAAGCCAGGATAGCTGAGGCAGCTCTGACCGGCCTGGAACTCTGTAAGCCAGGATAGCTGAGGAAGCTCTGGCTGGCCTGGAGCTCAGAGATTGGTCTGCCTCCGCCTCCCAAGTGCTGGGATTGAAGGGTGCAGCACCATGCTTGGCAGATGTGCTCATTAAACCTGAAACTCCCGCCACTTTGGGTCCCAGAACCAAACAAGAACTCTTAGGTTAACTGAGGCCCACCTGCATTCAACCCGCCCAGCCCTGGCTGCAATGGTTAACCAGGCCCCAGATAGTGCAGGGTGTGTGTGGTCACAGGAGAGAGTCCAGAGGCCACACGGCCCCCTGGGGCAGCCCCTAGGAATCTGCCCTGGTTCCCTCCTGAGGGTTGGTTTCATTTCTCAATCCAAGACACGGGGGGGGGGGGGGGGTGTTGTTAAGGTCACCTCCGAGCAGAAAGGGGAAGTTGGAAGCCCAGTTTGCCAGGCAGAAGAAGGAGGCTCAGGGTTCTTTCTGAGGGATGTGTGTCTCACAGGGCCTCTGATTCAAGTTCATCCACTTAAAAATGTGTGAAGGGAACCAGGGGGTGGTGGTGGCGCATGCCTCTGGTCCCAGCACTCTGGAAGCTGAGGCAGGAGGATCAGGAGTTCAAGGCTAGCTTGGACTGTGGAGTGATAATGTCTCCCTTTGGACTGAAGAGAAACCTCTGTTATGAATGCACCTGGGGCTCAGAGTCCTCAGGCTGACCTGAATGTCTAGGACATAGAAGGGACATGGGGGTACCTGCTCCAGTCCCGGGGGGCCTGTGATCTAGTTGGAGAGGAGTCCCTGGGTCTGGGTGTGGCAGGGGCAGGGGCTGCAGACAGTGCAGGGTGGGATACATGGGGCAGCCGTGGGAAGGCTCAGGGACAGGACGGACGGATCCTGGGGGCTTGGGCAGGGGTTGGGTGGGGAGGACGTGGTAGGATGAGGAGCATCTTAAACTCATTAGTATCTTTCTGAGTAGATGGAGCAGGGTGGAACACCCAGTATGTTCTGGACAGGGGCAGGCTCTGCTCTGTACCCAGGAGCGACCTCCAGACTCCTCCCTGCCCAGCTGGTCCTCGGGGGCAGAACATAGTGCAGGTTGTAGATGTGGGGGGTGACCCCATTCTTGGCCTTTCTCCCCATCCTTAGCCACAGGCCATTCAAGGAGACTCCTGGCCTGCCACGTTGGCCTGCTCTGTAGCCTCCCCTCACCACCCCATGTTGCCCCTCTGCCATCACAGGCACCGTCTGCGTCCTGCTGTCCTTCCCGTTCATCTTCAGCCCGTGCCTCGGCTGCGGGGAGGCCACCCCCGAGTGGGCTGCCCTGCTCTATTATGCACCATTCATCGTCATTTTCCAGTTTGGCTGGGCTGCCACGCAGATTGCCCACCTGAGCCTCATCCCCGAGCTAGTGACCAGTGAGCACGAGAAGGTGGAGCTCACAGCCCTCAGGTACCCGGGGCTGGGGGCAGTAACCTAGCTAGGTATCCCTGGGGAGTTTTATCTGTCAACCCCAGCTGTGGTGAGCCGCAGAGAGGGACACGGTGCCCTAACTCTTTCTTCTGAGACCAGGCTGGCCGCGAACTCACAGAGATCCACCTGCCTCTGCCTCCTGAGGCGTGCCTCACCACTGCCAGCCCATTTTTTAAAAAGACAAATTTGAGTCAGTTTCTTATTCCATTGCCCTGGCTGACCTTGAATTTTGTGGTCCTCCTGCCTACTGCAGTTTCCAGAGTAGCTAGCAGGGTGGGTGTGCTCTAGCCTGGCTGTGGAATTAGAAGCTTTGGCTGGGTGGTTCTCTGATGCTGGCAGAGTGGTCTGTGACCCCAGGTCGTAGCCTAAGGCTGATGTCCTAAGGTCACCTGATTAGACCAGACCCTCTAGGGACACTGCTTCAAAGGAACCACAACTGGCCCAGGGACTAATTGTTTCCACGGGACCCTTTGGCCCTTTATTCTGCCGTGGATCTGTGGCCTGTGCCTCAGGGAAGGACACCGGCAGGGCTGGGACTCTGTGGGATCGGGAGCTCTGCCAGCTCGGGAAGTAAGTATTCTGGATTTCTGATAGGCAGCAAGCATTTATTGAGCGCTTGCTGTGTACAGACGTGGTTTCTGTGGGCTCATGCTGAGCCGGGCGCTCACCCACAGGTATGCCTTCACGGTGGTGGCCAACATCATGGTCTACGGTGCCGCCTGGCTGCTGCTGCACCTGCAGGGCTCTGCCCATGGTGAACAGGACATCAGTGTGGGTGACCAGCTGGGAGTCCAGGATGTGCCAGTGTTTCGGGTAAGTCGGGGCTGTGTGGTGGCCTGGGGTCCCCGAGCCTATGGAAGCCATAGCTGAGTCCCGCTGTTCTTTCTAGAACCTGGCCCTGCTGGTGGTGGGCGTGGGAGCCATCTTCTCGCTGCTCTTCCACTTGGGTACCAAGGAGGGGCGCCGGCCCCGGCCTCGGGAGATAGAACCTGATGAACACAGCCCCCTGGTGGCCCCCACGGCCCGGCCACTCCTGCTCTGGAAACACTGGCTTCGGGAGCCAGCTTTCTACCAGGTACACTGTGGGTGCCCAGTGTCATGGCACCACCCAGGATTGACATACCAGTGGCTCTCACAGTCTGTACCCAGGGCAGGCATTACTAATCGACCTGTCTCATCTAGAGTAGACATTGTGAACCAATCTTCTACAGCCGGGGTGCCCATTCAGCTGCCGTCCCGTGCTCAGGACAGACTAATCACTCCCTCACTGATCTTTCGGGGCCAGCTGAGTTCTGTTTCATACTTGGGGCAGACATCATTCAGTTTTCCATTCCACATACGGGGCATATGTTCCCGATTTCCCGTACCCCACCCAGGGCAGACATTACTAATCACAGATGTCGTTTCTCCCGGCCTGCCTGCTGAGCAGTCAGCTGTAATGAGTCAGCTTGCTCTCCAAATCCTTGTCTGGGTCTCCTACTGAGCCCTGGGCTTGTCCCCCTGCTCATCTGCCCACAGGTGGGCATGCTGTACATGACCACGCGGCTCATCGTGAACCTTTCCCAGACCTACATCGCTATGTACCTGACCTACTCTCTCAGCCTGCCCAAGGTGAGGCGGGGTCGTGGGGAGGAGATGGGGAGGCCCCTCCCACCCGGGAGACCCCTCTGGACCGGCGCCGCCTCTCCTTCCCCAGAAGTTCATCGCCACCATTCCTCTGGTGATGTACTTGAGTGGCTTCTTCTCCTCCTTCCTCATGAAGCCAGTCAACAGGCGCATAGGGAGGAACGTGAGTGATGACTGGGAAGAGGGGGGGTTGGAGGGGGGTGGTGGCAGGGGTTCTCTGGCCCTTCCTGGTGGGCTGCAGCCCTTGGACAGCCTACCCTGGATATAGTGTCTGACTTGGCTGTACAACAGAAGGTTGATTGGTAATAGGTGCCCTGGCGTGGACCAGCAATGCCTGTCGTGGGAGTGGAGCGTTTCACTGGGCTGAGGACCCCAGAGGGGGAGTGTCGGGCACAGGATGCCCGGCCATGGGGGCCTGATACAGGCCCCGCCTCCTTCCTCTCTAGATGACCTACTTCACCGGGCTGCTGGTGATCCTGGCCTTCGCAGCCTGGGTGGCCCTGGTAGATAAGCTGGGCGTGGCCGTTTACGGGGCTGCTGTGCTGCTGGGTGCGGGTTGTGCCACCATCCTGGTCACCTCGCTGGCCATGACAGCTGACCTCATCGGCCCACACACGGTAGGGCTGGTGGGAGGAGCCTCGGGAGGCAGTGGTCTGGATCCTGGGCCTGGGGACTAACGATCTGTGTGTCCCCCAGCACAGTGGAGCCTTCGTGTATGGTGCTATGAGCTTTTCGGATAAGGTAGCCAACGGGCTGGCCGTCATGGCTGTGCAGAGCCTACACCCCTGCCCGTGAGTTCATGTCCTCAGATCCCAGGAGCAGCTTCCGTTTCTCTGAGTTCCTTGTCAGCTAAGGGCCAGGCTACAGGGGACACAGAGCCACCTGTCCTGGCCCAGGACAATGCCAGGCGTGTAGGAAACGGGATTGAGCGTGGGGGTGGGAAGGTGCCATCTCAGGAGGTGGGGTCAGACAGGGCACAAAGGCCCTGGGGCAGGACCGAGCCCGCGCTGGAGCTGCGGGGCAAGGCAGGGCTGTGGGCTGCAGGGGAACTCTGTGTCTAGTGGGGTGTGTGTAGGCCTAGGGTCCTCTGGAACTTGAGATGGGCTCCGTGGAGGGCTGGTGCAGGGGACACTGCCCTCAGCCCAACGTCTGCCCCCTAGCTCTGAGCTCTGCTGCTGGGCCTGCGTTGGCTTCTACCACTGGGTAATGGTGACTGTGACGGGCGGCGTGGGTGTGGCCGCGGCTCTGGCTCTCTGCAGCCTCCTCATCTGGCCCATCCGCATCCGCACCCGTGAGTCTCCATCGCTGCTGCGGCTTGGGTGGGGTCTCGGGGCTGGGGGAGGTGCGACCTGGAACCCGCCCTCCCCAATGCCACCCTGCTCCTCATTTTCAGGGGACCTCGGAGACCGGCCCTGACCTGGCTCCCCAGGGCAACACGACGAAGGACCAGGCAGACACCCTGGCCCCCTGGTCCCCCACCTGCAGGGGGTCAGAGGGCACGGTGTAAGGGTGGGGAAAGGATACCCGGCCATGCTCCTTGAACCCCGGGGACCCGTGGGTGTCCCGCCCCAACCGTGGACCAGCACAGGGACCAGGTACGGGAAGGCCAGGGCCTCCCTCATTCGGCTCGCTGGGACCCGAGGAGAATAAAGCAGGATTGACACCCCGGAGTGCATGCGTGGGGACGGTCGCCTGGCCCACGGACGCGCGAGGCACTGGTCGGCAGCAGGGCTTTATCAGAGCGCTGGCGTGAAGGCCGGGGGCGGCTGGCCGGTGGCCGGGCAGGGGCGCTCTCTGTCCCGTTGCCTGAAGTCCTGCGAGGTGTAGCGCGGCCGCTGTGGCGGCGACAGGTGGGGCACATAGTCGGACCGCGAGGGCTCCACCCCGAATTGGTTCCTGTTGACCACTGGGGAGCGGGACTGGGCTCAGAGGCTGGCAGGGGACCCTCTGCATGCTGGCCACGCCCTGCCCCCCTCCCACCTGCTGCCCGGGTCTTCGCTGTTTTTTTTTTTTTTTTTTTTTTCTCGAGACAGGGTTTCTTTGGAGCTGTTCTGGGACTAGTTCTTGTAGACCAGGCTGCCCTCGAACTCACAGTGCTGGGATTAAAGGCGTGCACCACCACCACCCGGCCACTTTTTTTTCTTTCCCTGTAGTTTTGATGCAGGGTCTCTTAAAGCTTGACACCGTGTAGCCCAGGCTGTCCCCAGAACTCAGAGATCCTCCTGCCTCTGCCGCGGGAGTGCTGGGGTGACCCGCTTGCACCTCCGCCTCACCTCCCTCCCGTCCCCATCTGCCACTCACCAAACTCCTTGCCGCGGATGTGCCTGTCCCTCCACGGCATGCACCCCCAGCGCGTGCCTGGGCTGAGATACTGCGCAGGCAGCACAGGGTCCCAGAAGGCCGTCTCCCGCAGGCGCTGCGTGTAGGCTGCGGGAAGGCGAGGGCGGGGTCAGCGTGGGACCCACGGGCTTACGCGGCTGGGGGCGCGACACTCACCGGGCGGCAGGCCACGCTGGCGACTCTCAAAGCAGCCGTGCCAGTGCGCATGGGCCTCGCGGTACGGTCTGTCAAGCGCAGCAGGCAGCATGTACCAGGCCTCGCGTGGGTCCGAGTTGGTCAGGCCGGTGAACCACACCTGACCGGCTGCGTCCTGTCCCATGGGCGTGAACTTCCAGCGCACGGCTTGCTTGACAGCCGGTGCCCAACGGGGGCCCTCCAGGGACAGGTAGTCATTGCTGAGGGAGGATGGGCACTGAGCGCAGTTGCCTTGCTGCTCCCTGTCGCAAGGGTGTCCGCCCCCTTTGCAAAGGGGTGAGGGTCACCCCATACCCGTCCAGGGTCTCCTCTGTGCGCTTTCCCACCAGCTGTCATTGTCTCATAGCCGAGGATGCCCTGCTTGTGTTTGAGGCACATCTCCCGACCATGCAGCAATGCTCCTGCCATAGCCTCTCAAGTGCTTGTATGACAGGCACGAGCCTAGTTTCGGGGGGCAGAAGGGGACCAAGCCGGGGTCTGCTTGGCAGGAAATTTCTCAGATGGTACCCGGAGTTGAGTGCTCTGGTAAGCCTCGGGTGGCCTAGAACTTGCAACGGAGAAGAGGGTACACCCTCTATAGTTTCAAAACCAAAACCAGGACTCGGGTGGCTCCATGGTGACCCCCTGGGATTGTACTTAGCTCACAAAAGGTTGATGTGAAACAGGCCTGTGAAATGGGACTTTTGCTGGGTGACACGTCCTGTGCTCAGTATGCTGAGTGAGGCGGGGGATCTTTCTAAGCCTTTGGGTTACACAGAAAGATCCTGGCTCAAACTTTAAAAATGTATAGTGTGGTGATATATTCCAGCCCTGTGGAGGGCAGCAGGAGGGTCAGAAGTTCAAGGTCATCTTCAGCCACGTGGTAAAGCTGAGGCCATCTCCCTATCATCACGTGCACAGGCCAATACTGCCCCTTAGGGCTGCCACTTCTCTGAAACGGGGGGGGGGGGGCTTCCCTTCTTTGGAGTGTGGGTGTGCACATGCCTAACTCCCAATCCCCTGCACACCTGTATCCCAGCCCACTCGACTGCAGGTTACAGGGGAGGGGGGCGCAAGCTGGTGCTTGGGTGAAGGGAGGTACCAAATGCAGGGACCCACCTGTATAAAAGGGCAGGGAAGTTGAGTTCCAGGGTGCCCGAGGGGACAAAGGGCTGGGCAGCCTCCCGCCTCAGGTTTTCCATGTCTGCCCCTGTGTTCCCAGAGGTGCAGACCAATAAGGCCCTAGGGCCATTGTTGACAGGGACAAAGGTGTCCCAGCAACAGGGAAGTGGGCAGCCATGGTCCCCATGACCTCAGCCTACTTCCTGAGACTGGAGCCTTCAGGACTGAAGTGAGACTTGTGGCTTTGGGCTCTCACCAGCTCCCTACCTGGGGATACCTGAACATTCCTTAACTTTCTCCCTGCCCCACAATAGCAACCATGTCCTCCCTGTGCCAGGGGCTCGGCAGTCTGCCCTTGCCCACCTTACCTGTCTCTGTCCTGGACCCCACAGGGAAGACACTGCTCAGGGCTGGGTGGTGGGGACACAGCCTAGACCATCACTCAGCCAGTGTGGAGGGACCTCGAGGACACGGGACTCAGTGAGGGACAAAGTGTGGGCTCCATGACAGTAAATGTCTGTGACCCAGGGATCCACAGAGGGAAGTGAATTTGTGATGGATGTGGTTGGGCCTTTGCACCTTTGGTCAGAGACAGCCCCGGAATTAGCAGTGATTGTTACAGAGCTCATTTTATGATAGTACAATGGATGTTTTGTGTTTTTACTGCAATAAACAACACAACCAACTTAAAGTACTTGATGGCCACCTTGCTGCCCTTGGGTAGCACCGGTATCCGGTGGCACCAGGGTCCATCTGGGGTCATTCCCACAGCACAAAGATCAACTCCCTCTCTGCAACATGCTGGACCTGTCCTGCCCCAGGGACTTTGTGCAAACTGGCCACTGCCCAGGCTGCAGAAGGCCACCTCTGGGCACTTGGGGTTGGAGTCCCCTAGCCACTCAGGACCCTCGCAGGCTTTTCCCCAGTGTGTGGATGGGGGCCTGGACCACACCCGCTTGCTTGCAGTTTTGAGCCTCCTCCACCACAGGGGCAGCTTGTGGCAGCTTCTCGGTAGAGATAGGACCTCACCCTTCACAGCTGTCTGTCCACTGGGGACCAGCCCAGCCTCACTGACAAGTGTGGTACTGGGACTGACAGATGGACAAGGCTGTTCTGTTCAGGCAGGCGGCAACAAGGGTCCCATGCTATATTGTTTCTGGTGACTCCCTACAGGCTGAGCCACCCCGCTGCCTTGGGATGAAGCCCCTGCTGGGGAGCACAGCTAAGAATGTCTGCCTCACTCCCAGCCTCAGGCGCAGACCCCACAGTGACCTGTGTCCTAATGCCAGGTGGCTTCTCCGGCCTGAGTGTTAGAACAAGGCAACAAAACACACAACAGACTCCAAGGCGTCACAAATACATATATACACGTGCACACACCACGGCCACCACACTGGGGAGGAGCAGCAAAGATGGGGGTCTGAGGTCAGGGAGGCCTGAGAAGCTTCCAGAAGGCCAAGAGGAAGTGGACATGGCAGACAAGGCAGCTGGCTGGGGAGGGGCGAGGTGACGCACGCAGACAGAGTGGCAGCACGATCAGGGTGTCAGGGCGAGAGGCGCAGGCCCCGCCGGCACCTCCCAGGACGTTCTGGCTGGGGTGGCTGCAGAGGGGCATATCAGCTCTGGTCCACAGGTCCAGGTGACACTGGGTTTGGGGCTCTGATGGGGTCTCGGGCCTCCTGCTCAGCTGTGTCCAATATGGCTCGGGCAATGGTGACAGGGAGGTCAAAAGTGTCCATCTGAGAGCGCTGACGGCCAGCAGGAAGGGGATGCAGCCGGTGGATGAGGGTCCCCGTGTCCCTGTCCCAGACACTGGCTCCACAGCTCACAACGAGGCATTTAATGAGACTCTGGGGTCTCCGGCCCAGCTCCCGCCCATCAGATGCCTCCTGGGGACTGCAGGGACAGCAGGGCCCATGCATGCTGGCTGCTCTATCTCTGCCCCAAGGGGCTGCACTTCCCGCCTGCGGGTCTATCGGATCCGGGTGAAGAGGTTGAGCACAGACACGGATTCCTGAGAACAGGGAACAAGAGTGACCGTGTGCCCTGAGAACCCAAGGGGTGTGACCATGTGAGGGCACCACGCACCCTCCTTACCTTTGTAGAGCGTGTTTTGCTGAAAACGTTCCAGAACCGCAGTGTCTCGTCTCCGGCCCCAGTGACAATGGCCTCCCCGTCAGGGGACATGGCCTATAGAGGGGACAAAAGGGACCTGGTTGTTTTCAGCTGCAGCAGGCAGGTTCTGAGACCCAGGCAGAAGCCAGGTAGGTGCCAGGGGACACACCCCGGGTTGAGGGTGCAGGACACAAAGGTCTCTGCAGCGGTGGGTCTGAGTCCTGGGTTCCCAAGCTGGGTCTACCAGGCAGCCGGGACACTGGCACTTTTGTTGGACAGAGGCCACGTGGTGTGCGAGGCCTGGTGGGGGGGGGGATCCTCCACTTCCCACATCCCGGGGTAGGGGGACACTGTTTAGGAGCGTACAGCAGGAAGGCTGGGGCGGTGCTCAGCCAGCCAGGGACAAGTCCACCACGTGGGGCCCCAGGGGGCTGACAGCAACAATGGCCGACACTCACCAAGTAGAGGACACGATAAGAGTGGCCAGTGAGCTTAGCCACCTGTGTAAGGGACGGGTACTTCCACACGAGGATCTGGTTCTGTGAGTAGCCATGTGTGCTCACCTAGGACAGAGACCAGGTGTGAGGGCTGCAGAGGGCTTGGAGGGCGCCTTTGGCTTCCCTCAGGGGGGCATGGAGTCTAGACCGGCTAAGGCCAGCATCAGTCTACATTGCACACAGGTGGCGGGGTCTCAGCCCCCATGCTTCCTGCCTCCCACGGGCCCACGTGGGCACTCACCAGCTCGTTGGCATGTTTGGACCAGGCCAGGTTGCACACTTGTGAGCCAGTGTCAATGCACTGCAGGGGCTGGCCTGTCAGCGTGTTCCAGAAGCGGATGCAGCGGTCAGCTGTGCCACCCCCAGATGCTAGCAGTCCGTGCTGGTGTGGGGACCAAGCGATGGCCTTCACGGCTGCCAGGTGCTCTGTGTACTGCTGCACAGGGCTCACGGTTGAGTGGTTCCACACGAGCAGCTGCGGGCAGGCCGAGGCTGTGACGGGCCCACCCAGAAACACACACCCAGGGCAGGCACCTGCCCAGGCCAAGTCTGGGGTCATAAGCTCTATGTTCTAAGATGACCCCAGGGCCGTGCCCTCCCGGGGCGGGGCAGGAGTGACAGCAGCCGTACCTTGTTGTCGTTGCCCCCTGAGGCGAGCAGCTGGTGATCTGTGGACCACTTGAGGCCACACACCTCCTGCCGGTGGCCCTGTAGCCGCCGCTCTGACTGCAGGGGTGGTGTGCGGATGTCGCGTTGCAGGATCATGCGGTCACGGCTACCCGATGACAGCTGGTCTGCGTTCCAGGCCAGCGCCCCTGCAGGGTGACAGCGGGTCAGCCCGGGCCTGGGCAGGGCCGGGGCCAAGGGTGCCGCTGGGCTGGCCAGGTCCTCACCAACGCGTGCAGTGTGGCCCTCCAGCACCGACAGCTTCTTGCCAGCGGCCGCATCCCAGATCTGCACGAAGCCCTTGTGTGTGCCCACTGCAACCAGGTTTCCCTAGAGGACAGGAGTGGCCAGGTGGCCATCAGCTGGATATGGGGACAAGAAGTTTACCCATCTCGTGCCCAGAGAGGCGGGACGGTCTCTGTAGCCCATTTTTTGTTCTGAGTTTTAAAACAAGGCTCACTCTATGATCCAGACTAGCAGAACGCACACTCAGGGCAATCCTCCAGCCTTGGGAGCCACCACACCCAGCTACCTGGACATACTGCTTTGCTTAAACTGTCTGCGGGGCTTTCTTAGCAACATCACCGTTCGGCCACCACTGTGCCAGCCTTGTGCGGGGGACACCGCCCACCCCTGCACCCCAGGCTGCAGTGAGCAGCAGCAGCACAGTCTCAGAGATGGCCAAGGCTCGTGCACAGGGAAGAAGCCTCCAGCTCAGTGGCCTTACTCAAAGATCAAAGGGTCAGGTGGGTTCCACCCTTCCTCCTTTAGGGGTAACAGGTGACCGCGGGGCTCCCCTTCCTCACTCACCCGCTCAGACCAGCCCACAGAAGTCACTGAGTCTCCTTCCACAGAGAGGTCACAGAGCCGGGTCACCTGTGGGCAGGAGGTCAGAGTGAGGACAGATGCTCTGGCCTCAGACCTGCGTTCCCCAGCTAGTGCCCATGGGGTGGAATGCACAGAGATGGCACCAGAGTCCAGCAAAGGAGACCAGAGTCCCAGCGTCCACAGTGGTCCCTGGGGACCACTCACGTCTCCTCAGGGAGAAGCGGGTGTGTGTTTGTGTAGGGGGGAGCATCGAAGGAATAGGCACACTCTGTGCACACTACTCCCCCCTTCTGTCCCCTCCCGTGGGCTGCACCGCCTGTGGTCAGTCAAACCCAAATGGAGGGTGCTTGGTGCACACCTGGCTAGTGCACGCGCTCCACAGGTACACGCAGGTGCCCAACCCCACACTGAGCACGTTGAGGGAGGACCAGTCCACCAGGTTGAGGTAGAAGTCGTCCTGAAGCTCGGGCGCATCCAGCACCTTGAAAGGAATCTTGGAGATCTTGCGCGTGGGCTTCCGTGGCGACCGCAGCAGCTTCTGACTGCGGGGACAGCAGGAGGCCGCTTGCTGCTGTCCCAGACCCTTGTCCCTCTTACCACCCAGACACTCAGGGACCCAGGCCTGGCTCACCTCTTGTTACTAACAGGGGACAAGGAGTATGGAGACACGTCATTGCCATCGTCAGGACTCGAGCGCTTGCTGCTGAGGGAATACTGGGGGCAGGGACACCGTGCGGAGTGGCTGTTGTGGCCTCGGGGCTTGGGAACCCCCAAGCACCCAAAGCCGACAAAGAATGGGCTGGATGCGGCAGACAGAGCAGCCCCCCCCCCCCCCAGCCCTCTCCCTCACGGGGCCCTGGCTGCTGCTGGCTCACCGTGAAGAGGCCCTTGTGCTCGGGCGTGGATGGCTGCAGCCTCCGATCCTCCGTCTGCGGGTCCTGCACCTTCTCAATGCCGGCGCCCAGCAGCTCGTTCTTCAGCAGAGCGGAGTAGGCCAGGCCGTCTGCAGGGGCAGGGCGGAAGGTTGTTGGGTGTGCTCTGGGCGGGGCCTATGGCGGGAGGGGTGGGCGGGGCCTATGGCCGAGTGGGCGAGGCCGACCGTCACCTTTGCCGTTGTCTGAGGTGGCATCCTTGGCCTTCCGGTTCTGGCTTGGGGACTTCTCGTTTTCCTATGGGAGAGCAGCCCGTGAGGGAACACCGCAATGGGGGCTGTGCCCACCTCGGGGTGACTGGCCCGCTCTCTGCTAGGTCTAGCCCTCACATTGATCCTGTGGAAGTTCACACTCCAGTTGGCCCCTGCGCGCGAGGGGATGAAGCGGTCACCATGCTTGCTGGGCGAGGACACTGGGGAGTTGGCTGGTGTCAGGGTTCTCCGCATCTCTGAGACCTGGGAAAGAGGTGGGGGGCTCAACTGCGGCGACCCCCAGAGAAGGTCCCTTGGCCGGGGTCTGCAGGTGACACCCTGGGGGCTCGATGGGTGCAGCCCATCACTCACACATGGCACTGTGTTCTCATTCTGGATGATGATCTGCCGCAGGAGCCTGCGTTCATAGTCCTGATCCATGGCGGGCG